TTTTTTGGATTTTTCGAGACAGGGTTTCTCTGTGGCTTTGGAGCCTGTCCTGGCACTAGCTCTGTAGACCAGGCTGGTCTTGAACTCACAGAGATCCGCCTGCCTCTGCCTCCCGAGTGCTGGGATTAAAGGTGTGCGCCACCATCGCCCGGCATTCACTAATGATTTCTAAACTTTTCTCCAGACATTATGTCACAGGGAGAGTGAGCTCTTGCCCTTTCTACCATGGAGGACTCGGGAAAGACTTTTGGATCAGAGGAGGAAGAAGCAAACTATTGGAGAGACCTGGCCATGACCTACAAGCAGAGGTCAGTCCTTCTGTGCCCCTCACTAATTCCTCCTGGGAGGATGGTGGCTGCCTCTTCTATAGGTCTAGCATGATGTCTGAAGCTGACATTACTGACCCATGAAGAAACTAGGATCACCTTGCTCTACAAAGGCCCCTGAGCCTTAGGGAAGGCAGACAGTCTGCCTAAGACCACAGCTGGGAGAGGCAGAGTTGGGATTTGAACCACAAATACCTGAGGAACCTAACCATCCTAACATCTCATTGCGGTTTCTGGATTGGTCTTTATCTATTCCTAGATGTCAGGTTTTTGTAGGGGAGAAGATTTACCTGCGCCTTGAGATGGCTCAAGGTTAAGAGCACTTGTTCTTGCAGAGGATCTAGGCTTAGTTCCCAGCGCCCACATGGTGCTTCACAACCATCCTTAACTCCAGTTTCAGGGGATCTGATACCTTCTGACCTCTTTGAGCACCAGGCATGCAGACAAGACACTCATACACATAAAATATAATTGGAAAAGGGTAGGCTCATTTTAAAATTTGAAGCTGGTGTTTCAGTGTACATGTCTAAGAGTGGTGTGTGTGTGTGTGTGTGTGTGTGTGTGTGTGTGTGTGTTTGTGTCTGTGTGTGTTGGGTTTAGCACTATGCAGTTCAGGCTAACCTTGAATTCTTGAGCCTCTTGTCTCTGCCTCCTGAATGCTAAAATTACAGTTGTGTGCTTCAATTCCAGCTCTAATCACCAATCTTCTTGTCCATAAAATGGGAATAACAGTACCTGAATAAAGTCTTGATCCACACACGCCGCTGCAGCACAAATACCCAGCATCATTCTGTGATAAATTTATTTGCAATCCTACTACAGGGCCGAAAATACACAGGAGGAGCTCCGAGAATTCCAGGAAGGAAGCCGGGAATATGAAGCTGAATTGGAGACTCAGCTGCAGCAAACTGAGACCAGGAACCGGGACCTCCTGTCAGAGAATAACCGCCTTCGAATGGAGTTGGAGACCGTGAGGGTGAGGAGCACAGGAGACATGTCTACAGATAGGGATGTCTGTTGCATGGCTGAAGAGGCAGTCTTAGAGGGTGAAGTGACTGTAACCAGGCCACTCCCTCCTGGAATCCTGTCAGGTGTCTGTGGTTATTGCACATTTCTTGTCACAGGGGGTGGAAATTGGTGAAAAGCAAGTCACACACATGGCCTGCAATCCTTCTTGGTGGTGGTCTGTACTGATTTCACAAGGCATATGGCAAGAAGAACTTATCAGAGGCTACAGTGTCATTAGAATTGCAGATTCTTGACTCAGTCAGTCCAGGCTATGACCAGCCCTCAACTTACTGTGTAGCTGAGAGTGAACAAGTAAAAAATTAATTCTTCTACTAACACTGGCCACAGGTCAAATGCTCTATAGCCACTTGCAACTCATGAGTTTCCCTTCTGGACACATGAATCACAAAATATCATCTTGTAGAACATTCTCTTGGACCATGCCGGTCATAAGCCGGTTATTAACTGGGCACTGCAGTAGTTCTGCTTGGACCCCTTGTCTGTGGTTTTGTTTTTATGGTTTTAGTTACCAGTGACCAAACAACATCCAAAAATACTAAATGGAAAATACAGACATAAACAATTTTTACATTTTAAATAACTTTTATTATGGTGTAATGTTATAATCATTCTATTTTGTAATTGTTAACTTTTTTGTTTGTTTGTTTGAGACAGGGTTTCTCTGTGTAGTGTTGACTGTTCTGGAACTCACTCTGTAGACTAGGCTGGCTTTGAACTCACTGATCTGTCTGCCTTTGTCTCCTAAGTGCTGGGATTAAAGGGGTGCACCACCACCACTACCTGGCTATTGTTAATTTTTTAGTTTGTAAGCTAAGCTTTATAGGAAAACATGGCAAACATGGGAATAACAAAGCATATATAGGGTTTGGTGGTGTCTAATGTTTTGGAGGATGCTGCAGAATGTCTTGGAATGTGTCCTCTCAGATAAAGAGGAGGCAGGTACTATGTTGCTTAAGACTGGACATTGTTGTAAGGGGCCAAGCTTTACACTGTAAGACAGTGAGAAATGCTTCTGGCTTTCATCGTCCAGAAACAAATAGCACTCCTAACTCCTGAGTGTGGGACAGTCAAAAATACTTCTGAGCTGTCGAGATGGCTCAGCTGGTAAAGGTGCCTGCCACCAAACCTGATGCCCTGAGTTTGGTTCCTGAGATTCACGTGGTGGAGGGAGAGAGCTGAGGCCTGCAAGTTGTTCTCTGGCCTCTGGGTATCCACGGGAGTAGTTCTCTCCTTCCATCTTGTGGGTCCCAGGGATCTAGCTCAGGTCATCAAGCTTAGCAGCAGTTGCTATCTCCCCAGCTCAGTTTCAAAGTTTAAAATTATGTATTTAAGGGGGCTGGAAAGATGGCTCAGAGGTTAAGACCACTGACTATTCTTCCAGAGGTCCTGAGTTCAATTCCCAATAACCACATGGTGGCTCACAACCATCTGGAATGAGATCTGGTGCCCTCTTCTGTCATGCAGGCAGAACACTGTATGCATAATTAATAATTAATATACACATATTACCAAGAGCTAAAATTTTTGAAGTGTCTCAGAAAAATTAGGGTTTCTAACTTCCTTTGAGAGATGGAGACCTGGCATCGTAAGGTCTCCATTGTCCACACCAGTGAATGGGTGAGCCCAGCCTGTCCTGGTCACTGTATCCTGATACCAAGGACTGTCTCTTGCTCCTTGTCCTATGCAGAGTCCAAATTTCTTTTTTTTTTTAATATTTATTTATTATGTATACGATATTTTGTCTGTGTGTATGCCTGAAGGCCAGAAGAGGGCACCAGACCTCATTACAGATGGTTGTGGGCCACCATTTGGTTGCTGGGAATTGAACTCAGGACCTTTGGAAGAACAGTCAATGCTCTTAACCTCTGAGCCATCTCTCCAGCCCCAAGAGTCCAAATTTCTTGTTGGCCCTGGAAGTATTTTCATTTGACCCTTGAAACAGGCATGAGGAATTCTCACATTGAAGGGGCCCCAGAGCTGGTAACCAGTAAGGTGTGACCCTGACTAGTCCTTGGTCTTGGAAAGTACTGAGCTTCCCTTCCCTTACACTAGGGAGTGTCGTGGATCAAAAAGTTAGGATGGTTGTCACACTAAGTATCCGATGTCTCCTTTTCGGAGGTACACGCAACCGATACCCTTTCTGCTACTTTTCTCAGGTACAGTGCTGTGTGTAAAGCAGGGCCATTTTGAATTGTAGCTGAGGCCTGGGCAAGTACACATGGCTTCCTTTGGCTGTGGACACCTTGAATGAGGGTTGTTGGGCACTGAAGGGACCAGGTGAGAGAGGACAGGATGGCAGGTGCTAAGAGGATTAGCAGGCACATGGTTGGGAAAGTCAGGGCGTACATACTTTGAATGTGACTATCACTTACTCCCACCATTTTATGTAGTCCCAGCTAGTTTTATGTCACCTTGATACAAGCTAGAGTCATCTGAAAGGAGGGAACCTCAAGAAAATGTCACTATAAGATCTGACTGTAGGGTATTTTTTAATGAGCGAATGATGGAGGAGGGCTCAGCCCATTGTGAGTGGTGCCATCACTGGACAGGTTCTAGGTTCTATAAAACACAGACTGAGCCCGACAATGGTGGCGCATGCCTTTAATCCCAGCACTCGGGAGACAGACGCAGGCAGATCCTGTGAATTCGAGGCCAGCCTGGTCTACAGAGTGAGTTCCGGGACTACAGCGAGTTCCAAAGCTACACAGAGAAACCCTGTCTTGAAAAAAAATGTGCAGACTGAGCAAGCCTTATGAGGAGCAAGCCAGTATGCAGCACTCCTCCATGATCTCTGCCTCCGCTCCTCCTCCAGGTTCCCGCCCTGCTTTAGTACCTCTTTTGATGATGAACAGTGATATGAAAGTGTAAGCCAAATAAACCCTTTCCTCCCCAAGTTGCTTTGGCTGTGGTATTTCATCACACCAATAGGACAACTGCTTCTCACCTGAAATTTCAGGTCTGAGGAAAGAAGATTCTGTTGACTGAGTAGGGGAGGTTGGGGGAGGAAGCGTAAAGCAGCCTTGCAGGAGTGGTGTGAAGCATAACTCAGGGAACTGAAAATGAAGGGAGAGATATTCCTTAGGATGTTGGGGTCATGTTGAGGATGTGCCTCGGTTGTAGACTGAGAACCATCACCTAGCACACATGAAGCCCTGGGTTTAATTCCCAGCACTGCATAACTGGGTGTGGAAGCTCATGCCTATAGCCCTAGCACTTGGGAGGTGGAGGCAGGAAGATCGGGACAAGACTGTCCTTCGCTTCTTGGGTACTTAGCTGGTTTGACCAGTTTGGTACACACTAGACAAAGAAGATAAGATATTGTTGCTAAGGTGGGAGGAGGGGGAAGAACTTATTTTCAGTGTCTGAAGCCATCAAATGTCTTCTGCAGATAGATGGCGCTGTCCAGGAATACCGTCCCACATTTGTTGTACTGGGTGTAAACATGGTTTGTCAGAGGCTTCAGTCACCGACCAGGCTTCCGTTCTGTCCTGCAGGAGAAGTCTGAAATGCAACATTCAGAAGGCTACAGGCAGATCTCAGCCTTGGAGGATGATCTGGCTCAGACGAAAGCCATTAAAGATCAATTGCAGAAATATATCCGGGAATTGGAACAAGCCAATGATGACCTGGAGAGAGCCAAACGGTAGGTAGGCGAGGAAAGGTCTGCGAGGCAACAAGTACAGAATTGAGTGTGATGACCTTGGTGGTGAGCAAAACAAAGCCCTAATCGCATGGGCAAGATGGAGCATGTTTACTGTTTCTGGTGTCTTTCCACCTTCCTGAAGATGTGAGTTTCTGTCTGTTCTCTTCTTCCTCCTTCAGCTTGAAAGACTACCCTTGGGGTTTTTTATAGGGTGCGGTAGGACTTTGGCTTACCTGAAAATGTCTTTATCTTTGCCTCCATTCTTGAATGTGTGTGTGTATCCATGTGTATCAAAAACAGCCTTGAGTATTCGAGGTTCTTACCTTCCATCTTAGACTCAGGGTCTCCTTACTTATTTATCTGTTTATTTGAGACAGGGTTTCTCTGACCTGCTGGTGCTAGGTCCTATAAGAAAGCAGGCTGAGCAAGTTGTGGGAAACAAGCCAGTAAGCAGATCTCCTCCTTGGCCTCCGCATCAGCTCCTGCCTTCAGGATCCTGCCTTGCTTGAGTTCCTGCCCCAGCTTTCTTTTCTTTTTTTTTTTTCTTGGTTTTTCGAGACAGGGTTTCTCTGTGGCTTTGGAGCCTGTCCTGGAACTAGCTCTGTAGACCAGGCTGGTCTCGAACTCACAGAGATCTGCCTGCCTCTGCCTCCCGAGTGCTGGGATTTGGGATTAAAGGCGTGCGCCACCATCGCCCGGCCGCCCCAGCTTTCTTTAGTGATGAACAGTGATGTGGAAATGTATGCCAAATCGGCCCTTCCTCTCCAAACTGCTTTGGTCATGGCGATTACACAGTAGTAGTAGCCCTAACTAAGACAGTCTGTGAAGCCACATTCTGAAACACACAGACGTCCTTGATCAAAAGCAAATAAATCACTGGACGGTGGTGGTGCTCACCTTTAATCCAGCACTCGAGAGGCAGAGGCAGGTAGATCTCTGTGAGTTTGAGGCCAGTCTGGTCTAGTCGAGTTCCAGGATAGCCCAGGCTACACAGAGAAACCCTATCTTGAAAAAATTAACCAATCAATCAATCAATAAATAAATAATGCAGTTGTCCACAAGAAGTTAGTACATTTGCACAGTTCAAAACTAATACAGGAGGGAGTAGAGAATTCCCAGACTTAGTCTTATTTTTTTAATTATTTATTTATTGTGCATTGGTGTTTTTTGTCTGTGTAAGGGTGTTAGGTCCCTGGAACTGTAGTTAGAGACAGTTGTGAGCTGCATGTAGGTGCTGGGAATTGAACCTGGGACCTCTGGGAGAACAGTCAGTGCTCTTAACCACTGAGTCATCTTTCCAACCCCATCTTATTATTCTTAATTATGTGTATGTATAAATGCACCTGTGTGTGGTTACCTGCAAAAACCAGAAGAGGCTTCAAATCCCCTGGAGCTGGGGGTCACAGGAGAGGGTGAGCTGCCTGCTGTGGGTGCTGGGAACCAAACTCAGTTCTTTGCAAGAACAGCAAGTACTTTAGCACTTTTAACCACTGAATTATCCTCACCAGCCCAAGATAGTTTTTTTGTTTGTTTCTTTGTTTTTGTTTTTTTCTTTCTTTTCTCTTTTGTTTTCAGGACAGGATTTCTCTGCCTCTGGAGTGCTGGGATTAAAGGCATGTGCCACCATGCCTGGCTTGTTTCTTTGAATTTTTTTTTTAAATACTTATTTATTTATTATACAATATTCTGTCTGCATGTATGCCTGAAGGCCAGAAGAGGGCACCAAACCTCATTACAGATGGTTGTGAGCCACCATGTGGTTGCTGGGAATTGAACTCAGGACCTTTGGAAGAGCAGCCAGTGCTCTTAATCACTGAGCCTGTAACGGTGTAAGCAAATGCAGACAGATTGTCAAAATATAGCCAGCTTTAATGGAGGAATAGACTTACAGAACCACCGTTCCTGCGGAGACCAGGAAAGCAGAAGCGAGGGCTGGGAGCATGCTCGCCAAATTTATAGGCAAACTTTAGCCTGAGGCGAACACGCCCCCTAAGGGGTGGGACTTATCCCTACATCTCCCCCTTTTGTCTAAATAAGACAGAACTAAACCAAATACAACTATATACAATAATAACAAATACATATAACAAACAATATTGAGGATCAAAAGTTTTGCTAAACATTCTATCTCAAGGAGTCCAAATAATGTAGAGAGTAACTACAATTATATAATCTTCAACTCCATCAAAGATCCGAGAAGAGAATAAATATTACTTAACAAACGAGATATATCCAAAATGTGTAACAATGGACAAAGACAACTGACTACCTGAGCAATCACCCAAAGTCTCGTTTGCAATGTTGAGTCAACCAACTTTGGCTAAGGCCTAACATAACTGACATACCATTATTAAAGGCAAGGAACTTTTCAAAACTATCTTACCCTGTCTTGGCAGGATATGACAGTCCTGTTGTATCCATTGATGCACGCTCTGTATCTTTGTCAGTGGTTGAGGTATGGGCTTTTCTTAACCCAAAGGCCAGTTCTGCCAAGAAGACAAGCTCCCAGTGGAGTGTCTTTGGTGCTCAACGTTCTCTCGGGAATAGAGCGGTGTTGCCAGGAGCAATTGTGTCTCACTATCACGAAACTCTGAGTTATATTAAAGGCCATATTCTACAGCTCTCCAAAGAGGTTGAAGATTATCTATCTATACTGAGTATAATCTCTATATATCTAAAGAACCTGATTAGTCTAATTACAAATGACAAACTTAGATGACTATTAATCTATATAATTCTCAATATCTATCTAACTTAAAGACTAAAACAATAAACAACTGTGCAATATATGAAGACAATGATCTTCATCTGTAAACAATGT